CAGCCTCCGAGTTCATCGTAATTTTGTTCTGCGTTTGGCAACGGCTGATGAATGTCTGCGGTGATGCAGCATCCTGCCGTGAGGCCGCTGGCATGACTAGTAGTTTTTTGCTGTTCTCCCACCGTTCGTTAGATTTCCAAGACATCTTTAGGGTCATTTTGCTCATATGTTAATGACAGTGGTATCTGCTTATTGGATACATCATTATAATCATGGTACACAAATTATACGTTTCTACATGCGGGTCATTTTGAAAATGTCCGTGTTCGCATATTCTAGTCTGCAGTTTCGGTCGAGCATTTTTATTTCAACCTATAGGCATGTCACATTCATTATTCGAGGTATTTGGAGGTTTATTTGAGGTGCAAGGAGGCTTTGAGTAAAAACCATTTTCGACATAGAGAACACACTTTTACTCCATGAAATATCGAGTTATAATTGTTAATTGCCATTATCTGTATAAGAGAAAATTTTAGCTCCTTGTGCCGTTTACCCCCGTAAACCTTCGTAATTACATCTTTATACAAGTTTTTTAAGGAAAAAAATAGTAATATTTGCCTTGGCAAATAAAAACTAAAGCTACTTTAATTGAGTTTGTTTTTTAATAATAGTAATAATAATAATAATAAATAATAATAATAAATAATAATAGATGTTTTCTTCATCGTTTAATTGAAACAACGGGCAATATGAATTACTGACTCCCTTCGTCACTGATAACGACGAGAAAACGAAGTAGCAAATTTTCAAAGCAGGTCACGAGGCGGGGCCGCACAGAACTGTAACTTCAGGACGCCAAACCATAAAAAAAAAGAAGTGAGACAAAATGTAACGATTGGAGGACAGAACAAATTCTTCAGAACTTCCCCGAAAGCCAAGTAAGTAGTGTTTCAACACAGTTAAATAATTCGGGAGTAACTGCATGGACCGTGATTGTCTTCACTTCAGGACAAGTTTACTCGGAGCAGTTCGGTTCCTTAACAATTTTATTTAAAAGATGAATTTTGACGGAATGAAACGCAAACATAATTTTGAACGCTTGAATAAATGCAGAGGAACTAACTATCGCTATCCCTATTAGCCTTTTAACTACTAAACCTTGTATTCATACTATTCCAAAAAAAAAATTCATGTTCAAAACAGTCAGACTATAATTACGTTCACATCATAGAGTCATCAAGGAAGGAACCGGGTACTTTTCACGGAACACATATTTAACGTATACGATTATTTGAAATGGCTTTGTGTAATGACCCAAACCCACAGAATGGATTGGGTATAAGCGAAAAATCATTCATCAAAATTAATAGTTTTAGGTTAATATACAAGATCAGCTTAACAAAACTGATACCGGATTAATATATACATGTAAACTACATGACATAATAAAGAAGTAATATTCTTTCCATATAACAATAAACACTAACAATTTTCGGAATACACTAAAAACCAATTTTTCATCTATTTGCTACTATCTTACAGTTGTTCTCTTACGCTAGGATAAAGAAGCCATAACTTCAACAAATAAAAATAATATGAAGAAAGCGAGAATAAATGTAAGAAATATTGTGTGTATGATATTCCTCATTACTAACCATTCTTTGAATATCTTGCATTAATATTTCCTTCGTTTAACATCTTCTTCAAGCAATCTGAATCGTTCGCAGAAACTACGCAATTACTTATTAGCAAGCCCGGAAAACCATTTGAATATCTACTCAAGGTATAGAAGTCACCGCGACGTCCGCACAATGTGAAACTCAGGGGTTGATGGAGAAAAATTTCTCCTATTGAATCTCATTGTTTCATGGCTGGGAAGACAATAGCAAAGCAAAATTTTATTATCATCCTGATCATCATTCACTGATACACAATTATTCAGAAAAATCAACACACATAACTACGCTTGTTTCCTCGTTAGGTGCGATATTGCCATTTAAAACGCAATTGTAAGTCTAGTTGTGATGAAGAGAAATGTAACAGTTCATTCTTGATACATTTTACAGCCGTAATGACCGCAGCAGTCACTCACTATAAGAAGACCCCAGTTTACCTTCGACTTACTTTCATTATACAGCGGCCTCCGTCTCTACTTTTCGAATAGAGGCGTTTGTATGTAGTTTCTGCAATAATTTTGCAGCAGCAAGCTACATGCATATGAGTTCTCAGAAAGAACATGAGAGGTCAAGAAATTTATTTTAATTTTTAACTTTACAATATACCATGTGCTTTTCATTCAGGAAATAGCACGAGATTGAAAAAAATTCAGTTTGATATATCAAACTCCAATGGAAATATCTAACCGCGAAATATTTGAGGTTTCCGATTAATGCAAACAACCACTAATGAAATTAGGGGAAAACATTGGAAATCAAATAGATTATTTTAAAAAGTTATTGAGACGGGTGATTTCTCTATAAGATCACCGGCAAAATCAATTGGTTTCTTTAATTTTCTTTCAGCATAATTGTTAAAAAAAATTATATTTTCCTAAAAATTAATTTTGTTGGCAGTCATTTTTTAATATTGTCTTCAACACAATTTAGAAGAACGATGAAATAAAACAATGAAGGAAAGTCTAGTTTGTATCACAAATGCTTATGTTGTGGCCATAACCTTTCTCTCCATTTTGGAGTTTAAGTATGGTTTTCAATAATTATGTCATTCTATGAAAAACATATTTACAAGTCAAGCTATTAATGTCAATTCTGAACGACTAGGTCATTAAAGGATACCTTGAGATATTCCTCTCCTTTTCTGTTTTTTTTTATCGTGATTACAAAATTCTAGTTTTGTCGACAGTGGTAACATTAATCGTGTAACGTATTAACGTGCATACTACGGAGTAGAAAATCAGGATCTTCGGCATTGGGCAGAAAATTGTTACTCGTTTCAGGGCAATAAAAATTGCATGACCTGAAAACGCACAACTAATTAGCTGAGGCGTCATTATAAGAGTCGAGAGGTGAAGTTTTTATTGCGTTCCATGAGCGAGAAGTAGTGAGGGGTGTGTTGTTTAATTCTATGTTTAACGTTCATCACTTATCGTCTACGTGTCGTGGTTACTAATCACAACGCCAGAGGACTGTAGAATACCGAATTGTCAACTACGTTCTTACTTATTTCGACCCTAAGTCATTTACAGATTTTAGCGATCTAGTAAGAAAAATATCTATATTTCTGCTTTCAAATCCCACTGGTAACAATGGAGTTCATCTACCTACTTCTTCCAATAATTTCAATTGCTTCGTTAATGTCGTAAATAAAGCATTGTGAATACTCGTGGCGCGAAAAATAAAGCGACTACAACTTATTATTTATTTTTATTATATTATTATTGTTATTATCTATGTATTATTATTACAATGTTATATTATTATTATCTTTATTATTATTTATTATTATTTATTATTAATTGTAGCACACGGCTGGCGATATCATGTAGTTGAGAATCCTGTAACTAAAGCATCGCATGACCGCTTTCTGCAAGGTCCGAGCCCACCGGTGCGACTGTGGCAAGGATTTTTCGAACCAGCAATACAGCTGTGTCGAGGCGCGCCTGGATGAGAGTTGTGAGAGGCTGCCCCCAGCTCTGATCAGTTTTTTTCCTAGAGGACGTTTCTGCGATGCCAGGAGAAGATACTCCAAACAATGGGTCACGGAACCGGCGCACAAATTCATTCTTTCTCCATCCACGCGCAATCAATCCCATCGGCGATGTCATTCTCGTATGCCCAGTCCCCAAATAATGTTGGAGGAATGTCAACAATCGTAGAAACTTGGGAGGTAGCAATTAGTTGTGAGTACTCCGCACCTTTATAACTGCCTCATGTTGAATTGGGATAATCCGAAATAATAAATAAATGGATAATGCGAACGTGGAATAGGTGACCACTGCGACGACTTAGTCGAGACGATTCGTCCACTGCACCGGCTTGAGGAAGCAGCCTTCCTTGTGCACGCGCCGGGTCCATAATGCAGTCCACGTACGCCTTGAGCAGGCGCTGGCTGTTCAAGAATCGCGTCCCCGTCCACGGTTGTCGTAGCGGTCCACTGTACTTCTCGCCGATGGTGACGCCGTCGCAGCGGGCGGCGGCGGCGTCGGATCGCTCGCTCGCAGCGCCACCAGCGCCAAGCGGCCGCAGACCCACGGCCGCTGGTCGCGCAGCGGGACACCAGGTGGACGGGAGGAGAGCACTGGCGGCGCACGCGCGCGGCGCCTCTTAGCACACGCGGAGACTTGAGGAGGAACCTGTTCATATGGCGCGAAGCCGCTCTCCCGCGCGACCTCTCGCCCGCCTGAGAGCCCGCCTCGCCTTTCCGCACGCCCCCTCGCCCGCCCCAGGGCCCCTGGCGCACCACACACG